ATGTTGCCTCTTTCCTTTTCCTCCAGCTTTCCTTATTCATTATTTATTGTGAGTGTTTACGGATGCACATGTGCCACAGCCTGCATGTGGAGGTCAAAGGGGAACTTTCAGGAGTCTGTGCTCTCCTTCTACTGTGTAGGTTCTAGGGATCGAACTCAGCATTGGCAGCAGATACCTTTACCTGCTGAGCCAGCTCACTGGCCCCCCACCATTGCCTTTTCATTGAAATATTGCAGCCTCCGAGGATGTTCCTCTATTATCATGTGTCAGTCAGGGTGACCCTGACAAAAGTGAGGTCAGCTACATACGACATGGTTTCTGAAATTCAATCCTGAGAAATAATTGGTAGAGGGCCGGTGAGGTGGCTGGGCAGATGAAGGCACTTGCCATCAAGTGCTTCCTGAATTAGATCCTGGAGATCCACATGGTGACAGGGGAGAACCAACTCCTCCAAGTTACACTCTGACCTTCGCATGTGGGCTGAGGCATGTGCACCTACACACATGTATATACAAAATAAATGTAATAATAAAACATAAAGAGATAAACTCCCATCAAAAATGATCAGTGGAGGGGCTGGAGAGATGGCTCAGTGGTTGGGAGCACTGACTGTTCTTTCAGAGGACCCAGGTTCAATTCCCAGCACCCACATGGCAGCTCGTGACACCCTCATACAGACATATATTCAGGCAAAACACCAATGCACATAAAACTATAAATAAATAAATAAATAAATAAATAAATAAATAAATAAATAAATAAATAGTGGGAATCTGGAAAAATATGAATAAAATCTGGAGTCTATCCCAAGGTACTAGTAGTGGTTTCTCAGCTTTGACAAATATACCGTGACATAATGTTAGCACTAAATAAAAGTGGACAAAAGATATATGGGAACTCTCTTTTATGCCTTTGTAACTCTTTTTGGTTGTTCTTATTTTTGTTTTATTTTTAAGATTTATTTTTATTATTTCTGTGTATGTGTGTATGATTTTATGTTCACACGTGTGTAGGTACCCTTGGAGGCCAGAAGAGGGCATCAGATTCCCTGGAGCTAGAGTTACAGAAGCTTGTAAATCGTCCAGCTTTTGTGCTGGGTACTGAACTCAGGTCTTCTGAGTTCAGGGCTCTTAACCACTGAGTCATCTCTCCAGCCCCCGTTTGTTCTTTCTTGTTTGTTTGCTTTTCCAGACAGGGTTTCTCTGTGTAGCCCTGGCTGTCCTGGAACTTGCTCTGTAGACATGGCTGGCTTTGAACTCAGAGAGATCTGCCTGCTTCTGCCTCCTGAGTGATGGGACTAAAGGCGTGCGCCACCACACCCAGCTGCTCCTGACATGTTCTTATCCTGTGACTTTGACACTCTTCTCATTGAGAGGTGGTATCTAGGCTGCCAAAAGTAACAAAAGTGGAAGAGACACCATGTGACTTCTAATGTCAAGTGGCAAAACACGGCACAGGTTCACCTGATTCTCTCGGGATGTTGCATTTGGAGATATGATGAATTGTCATGTAATCAGTCTGAGTGTCCTGAGATCACTGTTGTAGGAGGAAGCCCAAACCATCCCCGGTGAGAGGCCACATAGAGAAGCCCTGAGACTGCCTGAACACAGAGAGCCACCCAGGCAGACAGTGCCGCTTCACTCCAGCTCTGCATCCAAGACAGTCAGAGGCACCCAGCTGAGCCCTGCCTCAGTCCCCACAGGCAGGAATCTTAAAGGT